TGGGTTTGCCAGGGAGCAAGGATTTGGCACCAACTATGGTACTGAACTAAAAAAAATCTATGTATTTCAAGAAGCAACATTATTTTTAGATAACATGTAGCATTATTATCATAAAAAATATGTCACAGATCTAGGATTTCATCGACACAGATCATGGCCCATTTATGACTTCTAGCCTTCAGGAATTATTTCAGGCTTAAGAGTGAGGGAATTAATTTTAATAACTATATCATTTGATTATTAGCATTAAAAGATCATATTCCTTTCTCTCCCCTCTGCCTGCCACACACCCTGCCCACACCCACCCACTCATACCTTTCAGTCTAGATTTTAGAGAGACCTCTCTTTCTAGAAAAGGAGTATGATTACATTCTTGCCTCTTCCAAGGCCTGGGCTGGTCCTTTCTGTCTGCTCTATAAACAAACCAAAAGTGATTCCTGTGACCTTGTTCACTTCATTAAAAGTCTGGGGCAAGCTGGCTCAGGAAAGGATAAACTTAACCAGGAAGATACTGATCAAATGGATTCCCTTGCTCAGACCACAGGAGAATGCCGAATATCATGATTAATCACATTCTCAGATTTCACTCTTCCCCAACAACAGGAAGAATTGAGAACCCTCAGCCCACATCCTCACCAGTCAGAGTAGCAGCTAGGTGGTGCAATGGATGCTTGGACTGGAGTCAGGAAGACCTGAGTTCAAATCCAACCTCCGACACTTACTTAGCTATGTGACTCTGAACAAGTCATTTTAACCCCATTTGCCTGTTTCCTCATCTATAAAATGAGATGGAGCAGGAAATGGCAAACCACTCCAGTATCTTTGCCAAGAAAACCTCAAATGGGGTCACAAAGAGTTGGACATGACTGAACAACAATCAGAGTTGCCTTTTGCTTGTTAGGGAAGGTTTCTGTCAGAAGGAAGCCACCAGATTTAAGGTGGCCTAGAGACTCCTTCCAAGATAGATTAGTGACTTCAATTTGTTGAAATTTTGCTGGTCTAATTAACAAATACATATTTTTTCATAGCCAGAACTCTGTTTCTTGTCATTTCATATACTACAAGATATAGTTAGTTGCCCGACATCATATAGCTAGTAAGGATACGAGGTGCACCTGGGTCCAAGTTCAGCACTTTGTCCCATACTACCTCTCTTACAAATTAAATAACATTTGAACAAAGATATCAAAATGTAGATATCTGAGTCAGCCATAAATTGAACAAAGGTTTTACTCACCAATTGATAGGGAAAACACAGTTATAAGTCATAAGACATTGAAGAAACCATTCATTTGTTAAAGAATTTATATTTTGCCATTCATAGTAAAGTATCTGTAGCATTACTAATGTAGTGTAGTTGAAAATAAAATTTAAAGCATTCCAAAAACCTTAATAAGCCATTTTTCCTGTCTGCCCATCTGCTGTGGGAGTTTGACTATGTGGAGACAAAAGTATGGTCTTATGAAGAACACATATGCAACCACAAAACAATCTGAATTGAATGTGAAATTACACTCAACAAGCATGGCCCCAAATAATTATTCAACATTGTTTTAGACCATTTAAAATGACTAGACAGTATAAAATACCTGAGAGCATACAGACACAGGAACTGTATGAACACAAACATAAAACACTTTTTATACAAATAAAATAAGATCAGATATTTGGAGTAGGTAAAGTCAGTATAATAAAAAAATTACAATTTTTATCTAATTAATCTACTTATTTAATGGCATCCCAATTAAATAATTAAAAAATATCTTACTGAGTTAGAAAAAAAATTAACAAAGTTTATTTGGAAGAACAAAAAGTCAGGAACTTCAAAGAAACCAGGAAAAAAAGATGTAAAGGAAGCAGATTCGGTACTCTCGGACCTTAAACTATATTATAAGGTGAGAGTATTGTTGAAGTGTAAAATGGATAATTTTGATTACACAAATTAAAATTTTCTTGTATTAATAAAACCTACATAGCCAAGAGTAGAAGGAATGCAGAAAATTGGGAAAAGACTTTCATAGACCATCTCTGGGATAGGGTATGATTGGGTTGGAATGTTGGTGTGATGTAGGAAATGATGAGCTGGTTGATGTAGCAAAAATGGAAAGACTTGGACTTATAAAATAAGATGCTATCCAACTTCAGAGAATCAGATGACAAGGGGAATCAAGCATAGTACAATCTTACATGTATGTGTATGAGTGTATATGTGTATATATGTATGTATTTATAGATATCTATGTTATGTGTATATTTGTATATATATGCGTATATGTATATATTATATATGTGCATATATACATACATATACGGATATCTCTCTCTCTCTCTCTCTATATATATATATATATATATGTATATATATATATATCTCTGCACTTAACTGTAGCTTTCTTTAGGGTGGAGGACAGTACTGAATCTGCTTCCTTTACCTCTTTTTTTCCTGATTTCTTTGAAGTTCCTGACTTTTTGTTCTTCCAAATAAACTTGAAAAGTTTGGAAGGGAAAAAAATAAAGTAAAAAGTACATAGCAGAGAATAAAAGAAGACCTACAAAGATGCAAAGCTGGGCAGCCTTGAAAACAATGTGTAGTATTTACTATATAAGCTTTCTTGAAATGTAAATTTATTGTTTTATATTGAATTCTCTCATGTTCTGCTATGTACATGGAAATGTTTCCTTTTTCCTTTTCTCATTTTCTATTAAGCTTAAAATAAATAAAACGTTGGGGCAGCTGGGTGGCACTGTGGATAGAGCTCCGGCCTTGGAGTCAGGAGAACCTGAGTTCAAATCCCGCTTCAGACACTTGACACTTACTAGCTGTGTGACCCTGGGTAAGTCACTTAACTCCATTGCCTAGAACAAAAATAAAAAAAAAAATAAAATAAATTAAAAAAAATAAAACTTTTACAAAAAAATGGAAAGATTAAAAAATCAATAACAGGAATTTCTAGGCGTCCTCCAGATTCTCCACCTATTTCTTTTCTCCTTTTAGCTGTGGTCTCAGATTCTTGCTTCTTAGTCACATAAGCCAGAGAATGACTTGAGAGGTCTGCTATGATGTTCTATGATGCTGTAACAAATGACAGAATTGATCAATGGTCAAAGGATACAAACAGTCAGTTTTCCAATGAAGGAATTAAAGCAATTTATAATCATAGGAAAAAATGTTCTAAATCATTTTTGATTAGAGAAATGCAAATTAAAACAACCTTGAGATATCATTTTACATGTACCAGATTGGCTAAAATGATTGAAGGGAAAGTGATAAATGTTGGAGGGGATGTGGAAAAATTAGAAAACTAATTCATTGTTGGTAGAATTGTGAACTGATCCAACCAATTTGGAGAGCAATCTGGATTTATGCCCAGTTATTAAACTACCTATAACCTTGAACTAGCAATACCACTGGTTAGTCTATTTCTAAAGATAATTAGAGAGAAAAGGAAAAGAACCTATATGTCCTAAAATGTTTATAGTAGCTCTTTTTGTGGTGGCAAAGAACTGGAAATTGTAGGGATGCCGATCAATTGTGGAATGGCTGAACAAGTTGTGGTATATGATTGTGATGGAATACTACTGTTCTATAAGAAATGATGAGCTTGATGATCTTAGAAAAACATGGAAGAACTTGCAAGAAATAATGAAGAGTGAAATGAGCAGAACCAAAAGAAAACCATTTACAGTGACAACAATATTGTTTCAAGAACAACTTTGAGCGAATAAGTTATTTTGGCTATTATAAATACTTAAATTAACTATAAAGGACAAATGAAGAAAGATGCTATCTGCATCCACAGAAAGAACTGATAAGTAAAAGTATGTATGGAATAATTTTAGACATACATACATACATGCGTGTGTGTGTGTGTGTGTGTGTGTGTGTGTGTGTGTGTGTGTGTCTAATGGTAGCCATCCTTAGGGTAGGGGACATAGGGAAGAAAGAAAAGGAAAAGAAAAAAAATTTGCATGATAATTTTGTTGTATATTTGAAAGGAATAGCAAGTTGTGCATAGCAGATTTGTAGTTTCACGTGCAATCATTTGTTTATTGTACTGTGTTATAGAAATGCTTATTTTATCTATAAATTTAAAATAAAATATTTTTTTTAAAAAGAGAACAAACCTCAAAGTTCAAGCTTTTATGTTTACTATCCCAGGTAAAATGAGAGGCTCAGGCAAATGCAAGCATAGCTCCCTGGTCAGGGAGGCACATTTGACAGAATCTGGTGTAGAGGAGGGCTGTGAATCCTCCAGCACATGCAATCTTGACAGATGTTGGTATGTGTAGCTTAGAACCCATCACAAATTCCAGCTAATTCCAATGAAGCTTTCTGTTGTTGCTGAAACTTTAACATTTGTTGTCAAAAACAAAAGTAAAACTCTTTCTAATGATCAAGTTGAGAAAAGGGAGCATATTCCTGTGCCCAAGATTGGAGGGGGGAGAGTGGGCCTTCTCAAGTTTCAGAAGAATAGCAACAAAAATAATTTGTTAAACACCTGCAATGAACAGTAGTACTGTCAAACTCAAACAGAAAGGGAGCCCTGTGGGTCACATATTTACCTAGAAAATCACACATTAAGATGATCAGAGTTGTACTATATTTTTATTCATTTTGTTAAGCATTCCCCAATTATGTTTTAATCTGGTTCAGATGAGCACTCAGGAGTTTTGCTTGTGCTTAAAAAAGCTTGCCTTCTGTGGATACTAGTTTGACATCTTTGATATACACTGTGTAAAGCACTGAGAGAAATACAAAGCTAATACAAAGAAATACAAAGTAATCAATCCTCTACACCACCTATTATTAAGAGCGTAAGACACTGGGGCAGCTAGGTGACGCAGTGGACAAAGCACCGACCCAGGATTCAGTAGGACCTGAGTTCAAATGTGCCCTCAGACACATAACACTTACTAGCTGTGTGACCCTGGGACATAACACTTACTAGCTGTGTGACCCTGGGCAAGTCACTTAACCCCATTGCCTAGTCAAAAAAAAAAAAGAAGAGGATAAGACACCAATACAGACAGTTAGAATGTGTAATATTACATGGCACAGAGGAAAAAATACTGACCCTGGACCCAGAGGACCTAGATATAAATCTTACCTGTGATATTTGCTACTTGTTTGACCTTGGGTAAGTCACAACCTTCCTAAGCCTCAATTTTCTCATCTTTAAAATGTGGGAGTTTGACTGGATGATTTTTGAGGTTCCCTCTGGCTCTAGCTCAATGACTCCATGCTCCTAAGTAAGTTAATAAATCACAAAGTTTGAGGGGAGAAGGTTATTACCAACCAAAGGGAATAGGGAAGGCTTTTTGGAGAAAGTGATATTTTAACTGGACTTTAAATTATGGGCAGGATAAAGGATGACACCATAAACAAATGAGAAAAGCAAGGAAGAAATTACTTGTCAGAACCATGGCTAGGAGAAGAGCTCATGCCCAAAGGATGGACAAGAACACAGAAGGTAAAACGAGCAAATTTAATCTGCATGATGAACATTTTTCCACTACTTTCTGAAGTCTAGACAAAACAACAAATCAAGCCCTGATGTGGCATTTGCTACAATTTTTTGTAGCGTTTGAAGTGTAAACGCTTACACTGAAAATTATACAATCAGCTTCTGCTAGGTGGTTCAAGCTGGCTCCAGCACACCCCTGGATCACCTCCAAGATGCCTGCCCCAATAAAAAGCCAGTTACTTTACCATTCAGGCAGTAATACTTAAAGACAGCTTCTAGGGAAGATTTCCTATAGATGGTTTGGGTAATTAAAGAATACATTTGGGGGCAGCTAGGTGGCACAGTGGATAGAGCACCAGCCCTAAAGTCACCTGAGTTCAAATCTGGTCTTAGACCAGACACTTGACACTTACTAGCTGTGTGACCCTGAGCAAGTCACTTAACCCCAACTGCCTTAAAAAAAATACCTTTCATGTTTCAGGTCAGTGTGGGGGACATTCAATTCAATTCAAGAAACATTTATTAAGTGCTTACCATGTGCCAGGAACTGTGCTAAGTGCTGTGGATACAAAGAGATTCAAAGAATAATCCTTGCCCTCATGGAGCTTACAGTTTAATGGGGGAGACAATATGCAAACAAATATATACAGAGGAAGCTATATGAAGCTATATTATATATCTCCTATATAAATAGGAGATAATTAAAAGAAGAAAAGCACCTGAACTAGGAGGGGTTAGGGAAGACTTCCTATAGAAAGTGGAATTTTAGTGAGGCCTCAAAGGAAGCCAGGGAGGTCAGTAGTAAAAGTGGAGGAAGAAGAGTGTTCCAGGCATGGGAGAACCAGAGAAAATGCTGAGAACTGAGAAATGGAGTGTCTTATTTGTGGAACACCAGGCAGTGTTATTGGATCAGAGAGTATTATTCTAGGGAGTAAGGTGTGAGTATACAAAAGGTAGGGGGGGGCTAGGTTATGAAGGGCTTTTCATTCATCACAAACAGAGCATTTTGTATTTGTGCCTGGAGGCACAGCCTATTGATTCAGGTGTGGGGTGATACAGGCTGTCACTAGAGTGGTGGCAATGTCAGAGGAGAGAAGTAAGTGTATTTGAGAGTTGTTGTAAAGGTTAATTGACAGGCCTTGTCAACAGCTTTGATGTGTGTGGGAGGAGAGCATTGGGGGTAGGGAGTGGTGAGACATAGTGAGGAATCCAGGACAACTCCCTGGTTGTCAGTCTGAGAGGATGGTGTTGCCCTCTATAGTAAATGGGAAGGGGGAGGGGGCAGTTGGGGGGGGAAATAATAACATCTGTTTTGAACATACTGAGTTTAAAACATTTATTGGAATCCATTTCAAGATGTCTAAAAGGCTGTTGGAGATGTGAGATTGGAGGTCAGCAGAGAGCTTGGGGCAGGAAAGGTATATTTGAGAATCATCAACATAAAGATGGCAATTAATCCACAAGAGCTGATGAGACCACCAAGTGAAGTAATTATAGAGGAAGAAGAGAAGATGGCTCAGGATAGAATACTGAAGGACACCTATGATTAGAGGATGTGATTTGAAGGAGGAGCCAGCAAATGAGACAGAAGAGAAGTCAGAGAAGTAGGAGGAAAACCAGGTGAGAGTGGTGTCCCCAAAACCTAGAAAAAAAAATATCAAGGAGGAGACAAAGATCACTAGTGTCAAAGGCCACAGAGAGGACAAGAAGAATGAGGATTGGGAAAAGGCCATTGGATTTAGCCACTAAGAGATCATTAGTAACTTTGGGAAGAGCAGTCTTAGTGGAATGATAAGTTCAGAATCCAGAGTTTAGAGGGTTAAGAAGAGAATGGGAGGAGAGAGAATGGAGGCACCGATTGTAGATGTTTTTGAGAAGTTCAGCTACAAAGGGCAGAGGAGCTATAGGATGATGGTTGGCATGGATGGAAGGGTCAATTGAGAAGTTTTTTTTCAGGAAAGGGGAGACACGGACATGCTTTTAGGTAGTAGGAAATGAGCCAGTTGAAAAGAGTGAAAAAAGTGGGGGTGGCAGGAAAAAATTTGAGGAGATGGGATGGAAGGGAATCTCTTGAACAAGTAGGGGGGTTAGCCCTGGTAAGAAGTAAGACCTCTTTATCATGTGAAACAGGGATGACAGAGAAGAGGGCAGCAGAAGGCATCTGAGGGATAGGAGATGAGGAAGAGGGGAGAAGAGGGAGTTCATGATGAATGTCAATTTTTTATATAAAATATGAAGTGAAGCTCTCACCTGAGAAAAGGGGTAGGGGGAGCCATGGGAGGTTTGAGAACAGATGCAAGATTTAGAAGAGCCACTGTTGAGAGTGAGAGAGTGAATTGATAAGGGAGGTATAGTAGGATTGCCTAGTAGCAGTAAGGGCACAGTTAAGACCATGTAACACATTTGTAGTGGGCCCAGTCACTACAGTTATGTGATTTCCTCCACCTTCATTGACCAACATGTGTACAGGCATGAATTCAAAGAGTAGTGGGAGTGATCCAAGGCTGAGGCTTGACTGGGCAAAACTGGGGATATTATAAGGACTAGGTATTCAGGAGAGAGGAGGTCAGTGTAGAGTTGAATTGGTTTACCAAGGAGTCAAGAAGAGGAGAAAAGGAGCATGGCTAGTGCAGGGGAAATATCCTGAGAGAGAATTGAGGGGTCAAAGGTTTGGAGGTCATGATGAAAAAGATTAGGATATGTAGTAGAAGGGAGAGGGAGAGGTGAAATGGAAGGTTCACATGTGTACAGCATGTATATTTTCAGACTTTTTCAATGTATTAGTTGATTTTTTTTCCCTAAAAATATGGTTGGATAACATTATTTCAGAATTCTCGAACATAGGAAGTGGTACATTTCTGGGCAAGTTTGAGGGTATGACCCTCTTGATGTGGGGTGGAAGAGTAGCTCATGGGAGAAGAGCAGATTGAGTAATTGAGTGGTTAGAGTATTTGAGGGAGAATCAATTATGTATGTTGAAGTGTAAGGGCAAGAGTTGGGGAAGAGAGAAAAATGTGTAAGCTAGGTATTGAACTCATTGAGGAAGGAAGGGGGTAGTGGTATATGCAGACAACTGTTACCAGGATTTTGATTGGGTAGAAGATATGAATAGCATGAATTTCAAAGGAAGAGAGGCTACTTAATGAAAGAGGAAAGGAGAGAACCTTTAAGTGGTGATGGGGATCAAGGAATATTCCAACTCCTCCTCCTTAACCAGTGAACTGAGGAGATTGAGTGAAGATATGTTTTTTTACAGTATTTACAGTAGTGTAAAGGATGGCCAGCAAGGCTGTGACATCAGGAGAACTCCAGATTTCAGTAAGAGCTAGTAGATAAGATTGGAAGAGGAGTAGATTTAAAATGAAGGGAAATTTGTTGCCTAAGGAACAGGCATACCAGGGGTTCAGTAGAAGGGCTGGGTGGAGTTAGGATGACTGAGAAGGTTAAAGGGAATGGAAATGAAGAATTGGGAAAGTAAGGAGTGTGAAGTGGGGTTTGGATGATGGGATGTGGAAGACAGCATTTTTCTACCCTCACAAGATGGGCCTATCAAGAGATGGGAGGCCTGAAGTCAAAGGGATGGTTGCTCCTTTTCACTGGAGATTCTCTACATCCCAGCTGAGAGATTGGGCTGCAGCAGGAGGTAGAAAATGCCTTGGGCTCGTACAGATAGAAGTAGTTGCTTTGAAGCAGAGGGAAATGGGAGATATTATTATTCTTTCATTATTAGGCAGAAAAAGAATTTAAGCACCTACTCTAGGAGCAGAATAAGTGTTCTACAACCAGCTGCCAGAAGCAAACCTTAAAGTATTATATAAATGTTAGTTATTGCAATTATGATTGTGAATACTGAAAACTTGGGTCAAAAATTCAACTAAATATTTCCAGCTTCTTTAACATCAGATACACGGACCCAATGCCCTCATCCTTGATTGTATTTTCAGTTTGTTTTGTTGAAATCAACAGACAAACACGATTTCAGTTTAGAATTCTGTTCACTTTGTGTCTAGTTTTGCCTTATAAGCCCTGCAAGGACATTCTATAGATAAGACCCCTGCTCTCCCCCCAAAAAGGAATTTAATCTTTCCCTTTAAAATGTAAGGACTGTGAAATGATATGTTATCTTGAAGTAAAACCAGAGCAGCAAAGAATGAAATCATATAACAAACTACAGTTACTTCTTCTGAAACCAGACAGTCAGGAGCCTACAACCACCTTGAGTACTGTTTTGTTCGAATACAGCCTCTGAGATGCTAACTAGCAACAAAATTCCTGCTTCATTTTTAGAACGTATGGTTGGCTAGTATTTAGTTCAATTCAATTCCATCCACGTTTTTTAAGCACCTGTGACGTTCAAGGTATTATTCCAAACTCTGATTTTTTTTTTACGTAAAGAAGCTGTAACTCTGCTTTAAAAAGCAAAGCCAAAAACAAACAAAAAAACCCCAACTGCCTGAAGCAAACCAAAACCAAAATTTTTGTCTTTTTTTTAATTTGTCTTTATTTTGTCTACAAGATTTGTTTTCTTTTGAGAAGACATAAAGTTGTTTTCACAAAGGTCAGGAAATCTGTTTCTGGCATCATGAGGTCTAAAAAGTTTAACACACAGGAAAAAACTTAGATTGTTTATACAGCCATCTAGTCAGACCTTTGGCTGTGTTATAACTACAATGAGACAATACCTCATTTGGAAGTCATCTAGACTCCCGCTTAAAGTCTCTCCCTCTATCACTCAGTTTCTTACACTTATGTTTATGCCCCTTAACCACTGGGGTGGGGGT